CTATGAAACTTTTTTTAATATTAAATAAATCAAAGGAAAATTTGTTTCTCTTTCTAAAACAGCCACAAAATTGGGGAGTCCGTGTGCTTCTTTTTTGTCTCATTATTATTTGTGTTATTTTTCACCTTTTTCGGGGTAAATCAAAAGTGCTTCAGTAACACTAAATATGTGAAATAAAAACCAATAATGTATATTTTTCCACTTTGTTGCATATTATTTTTATCATATTGAACATTGTAAAGTTGTACAGCAAAATTGAACCTGCTATAGTTAAAAATGGCGACACAATGACAATTTAAGCGATCTAGTGTCATAAAAGGTGAAATGTTGGCCTTTTGTGAAGCGCACGAAATACACATTGATACACATTTTCAAAATGGCCGTCGAACTGGTCATTTAATAAATTCCTGTAAAAATTGTTCTACAAACAACATGCATGTAGTTTTTTACGTATTTTTCAGATGCATGTTTGCTATTAAACATGATCTTAATTGGTGATATATTATAAAAACCCGTTACACCAGATCAAAACGAGACTTGAACGTGACTTAAACCTCAGAAAAGTACATCCTTAAATCAAAGGTAAAATTACATATGTGTGTGTGTATTACGTTCATTTTTCAAACTGAGCTTGGCAAAAATACTATTTACTACACTGCTTCTAAGCCCAGGAACCCTGAATTTATTGTCAATGTGACAGTATTGAGTGTCTATTTATTACATTTTTACCAGTGAAATATTGAAAATTATTAATTCTACAAAGATGTAAAAATATTAATGAAATTAGTGAAAAATATCACTTTTGCTGTTTGACCGATCAAAGCACTGATCAAAACTACCATGAGAAAAAGCCTGATTAGCTTAAGGATACTCAGGCCTCGAAAATCCGTCTGATACATCAGCCCATTCTACTGCCCAGAATAATAATAACTTACCTATAATGGGAAAACTATTCTCTGGGGGAACACAACCTTTAATTTCACAATTAACTTTCATTTTCATAAAAGCCAGCAGACTGAGTAGATCAGCAACTCTGCTTATTTGATCAGAGAAAACTCTGTCAACAGAAACAAGGCGTATAACTTACATAGTTGGTGTTGATATTTTATCATCGGGATAAATTGTGACAAATAACTCTGCATTTTCGCAATTCTCCACCAGTTGGGATTCAGCTCTCATCAACAGAGCATAGTGGTCTTTGTTGATATGACGGGACTTTTTCTATATAATTACATTATGATACAGTAGTTATTAAGCATACTTTATTTAAAATATGATCTAAAGTACCTACTTTATGAAAACAATTTAGATTTTATTTAAATTATTTTAAAGAGGACTATATTTGGTTGTATAGGGGTTGTCTAGATCAAGTGTTGTCAGCCTGATGTATCGCTTTCCGTTCCGAGGTAGGTTTTTGTATACAAAATGTAATAAACAAAATATCTAACAGTGTCTTCACTCCTGTGTCTAACATTTTAATATTTTCCACTCGTGCTGCACACTCGTGAAAGATATCAAAATATTAGCCACAATCGTGAAATATATTTGGTATTACTGAAGACACTGCTATATATCCTCTATATATATTATTTGTTGGTTGTACCCTACACCTTAATAATTTGTACAGCAGGTTTTGTGGTTGATAGCCACAAATAGACTCCCAACTCTAATGGTATGTTTTACATTACGGTCAGCGAACGCTTCCCTCAATATGTAGTTTGCACCGAACAATTAAACAGATATATAACTCAACATAATTAACGCTAATTGGCAATACCCCCTCCCGTTTTCAACGAATATTGTTTCAATCCTTATATACATATATATATTTACATCCCAAAAACTTGATTAAATGATTAATAATTAGAATTCAACATTACAGATATGGAATGTTCTTTTTTCTGGACAAAGACAGCTCATGGTGGTTCGCTCCCCTCAGCATTCCAAATTACCCCAGCTCTCTGGCACGAGCTTTGCTGAGCTGACCTCTGCAGCGATTGAAGCATATCTCTATCTATTCAGCGATACATTCAAATCGTTTCCCAAACAAGAAGACCTTTATGTAAAATGTATTTTAAACTGACAGTTCAGGTATAATTTTTTTTCCTCGTGATGTCAATATTCTTTGCTATTGTTAATATTGTCGAGACACCTCACAGGATGTGAAAAGATCACCGGAGACTAGAATCGGAACTTATCAAATTAAGTAAACAGAGTCTGTATGACGTATGCGTTGATTCATCTTCGTACTACTTAAACTGTTATGAGTATTTTCAAACAAGAACAGACACAATTGGCATTTATCTAAATCTAGGTCACAGATGCACATTTTCCAACCATAATGTTTTTCTGTCATTATATGCATAACTTGTATCACTATACAGTGTTTGCTTTATTTCCATGCTTCTATATCAATGACACATCGTCCCATATCAAGAGGGGGAGATGGGGGTATATAAATGGTCAGTGCCCTAGCTAGACTGAGACACACACCAACGACCTTTAAAATACTAGTTGGACTCTCTACCAACTGGGCTATCGCAGACGATACCCCATTTCAGCAAACAGCTGACTTCTTAAAATTAGACACACGTTTACAAAAAAAATCTGATGAAGTTTACTTTGAAATATTTCCCAGATAGTATAATATATAAGCAGTATGTGTACACATTCCAACAGTTCGCTTACCAGTGGGGCAGGTACAGTAATAGTCTTTTATAGGATCTGTGGAATCTGCAACATCATACAGAATCCAGACATTGTATTTTGTTTGTGATTTATGTGTAGAATGAATCTAATCCCTGCGCAAACCAGTTGAATGTTGATGACCCCAAACCTCAAAGTCATCTGAGGAAGCAAAATGTTCCGCTATATGTCCTGCTGCCTGTTGATCAAGGTCCAGAAATACTGTAAACAGGTTTTAACTTGAAAAGAATTATATAGTAGTATAGTATAAGAGACTAGTGTAAGACATTGTAAATACAACTTAATGAATATGAAATGAGAGTGTAGTCATAAAACCAAAAAAAAAACCCACTGAAATATAGCTTGCAAGGCAACTAGAAGGCAAATGTGTGTTGTGAGCAATGGGTGATATAATGTCTTCAGTTAACGATTTTGTTTATATACTGGAGGGATGGGTAAATACTGGGGTATGTCATTAATAGATGTAATTACCTGCGTTCATCTGATGATAAAAATATAAAAAAATATATATATACTCAGGTATGTATATAGTATGGCATCAAAAGGTGGCTGCCTCCAAGGATGTCCTCTAGGTCCATTTCCAATCGGTCTTTGTTAGTGGAGTAGAAATATAAAATAGGCTGGTAAACTATTCTTTCGGTTCTCAATTTAAATTGAAAAAACGCTAATGTAAACAATACTCTAAAACTATTTTTAAAGACTGATGAAGATGAGACATCTAAGAAGACCAAGAAAAAATATACTTTGAATAATTAAGTGTGATTTTTTGGTAGATATTTGTTTTCATGGTAAGCCAGTTGATTTTTATATTGCTGACTTAAAACATACATAATACATATTAATGGAATGGAATGCTTAATGTCTCCACAATCATGATTTGAAACATCTACAAAATCAATCCAGATTGTGTGTACTTATGACATAAAATATTGGGGTACATTTGTATCCCATAATTTTCAGGGAAAATACCAATGCATGCCCTTTTTGCCTCTTCTTCACAAGCTTTAAAATAATTACATCAGTTTTTGAAGTGAATTCACCGGAACATTAAAATTGCAAAGTTCGTTGGTAGATCAAGAACACCACCTTTATAGGTATCTGTATTTGAAATATCTCTATTTCATTGAATGATATCTGATATTTGTCAGAACCATCTTTGTTTATTTAAAGTTAAGTGTGCATGCCAGGCAACCCTTCTCTGGGTATTAAGTTTTAAGTTTGTTTGCAAAACGTTCAGGCCTTCACATTCATCCTCACAGTGTCTGTGATGATGTTATAAAAGGTTAAACACTCCAGTCAATGTTTAATTGCCCTTCCTTCTTTGTATTCATTGCATTCAACACTGTTTTAACAGTTGAGCACATATTGTGTATATGCATGTTATGAAATAACTCGCAGCTGAATAAATAAAGTTGTTGCCAATTTGAAATTATAGTTTCATGTTACAAACAAAATACTTCATCCAATGATCATTCATTACGGCCAAAATTAGTTGTTTTAGCTGACTCAAATTCTAGCGTATAACGGAATATATTTAAAGCTTAGCACTTTGATAAATGGGCGGGTTCACATAAAAATATGTATATGAACCAAGAAACTATATACAGAAACTCAAAGCATTGCATTCCTAATTTAGCATGTTTACAGGATAATCTGATCAATTATATGGCCGCCTACCCTTCAATATATGACTTGATCTAATTACATTTCCGTTTCCAAAACTACACATTCTTTCTAGGATTCTCCAACAGAGAAATACTTTTGACCGTAAATGTAGAATATCCACTGTTTCACCTATTCGCACATCAACATCCTTGACTCTATGTTTTGTATTTACGGCCATTTTCAAAAGATAAAAAGTACATAATTTGAACAACACACAACACCTAACCATTTAGGCACAGGAACCGATAACTCATCGGACCATTAGGTTAGGTTTGGTTTGTTTGTGCTCTACGCCGTTTAAACAGCTATGGTCATTTAAGGACGAGCCAGATTTAGTGATAGAGGGAAACCGGAGTACCCGGAAAAAAAACCCATTGACCTGCGAGCAGTACTGTGCGACAGCCCAACGCAGGCCTCGGACCGGAGACCGAGTGTTAGAGGGCTTGCGAACGTGGACGATCAGACGACTAAACTACTCGGCCATATAAGCAATATTCTACTATATTCCTAGAAACTTGGAGAGTTTTCCTAGTGCTTACACTAATAATTGTCTAATTTTTACTCATGAAAATACATTAATTATATAGAAATTTGAAGTATACAAAAAGTGTTGTTTTTTTTACCAACAGAGTGTGCGCCGAAAAGCGTTATTCCTATGGAGCTACATCTACGGTTTAATTAATCGCCATCCTGATGTTATTGTTCAATTTTTCCCGCTGAAGGGATACTATCTTCTATGTCTCGTTATATACCGTAAGTATAGCCTAAATGATACACTTTCCATTTTCATATAACTGGAGGCTATTGCCTTTCATTTGTCTTTACATTGAAAAATAAATATCTTTTCTTTTATTATTACTAAATGACTGATAAGGACTCTTGCATTTATCCCTTTCTCTCTCACCGAAAAGTCTTAAGATTAGGTTTTGGAACCGATAACTTACAGCCGAAGTTGATTAAGGAATTAGACGGGTCCATAAATGAACTGTTCTGAGAAATTTAAAAACATTATTAAAGAAAAAAACTACCACAGTGTTTGGAAGACGGTTAAAGCATGATAATACTCAAAAACAGCTATCTGGTCCCTTAAGGACGAACCAGGCTTTGATGATAGAGGAAAACCTGAGCACCCGGGAAAAATCACCGACCTGTTGGAAGTAACTGGCGACTGCCCCACGTATAATTCGAACGCGCGACCCAGTGGTGGGGGGCTAGTGATCGCAGACAGTCAACAGACTCCTTAACAATTCACCCACTGCGGCCCCAGTTTAACAAAGATAGAATGATTATTATCAATTATCAATAACACACATGCCCGAAGAGTTTATTACTGTCCCAGAAATAAAGAACCCAGAATATAGATTTCAACACTCTCTGCCGTCAAATAAACATGAATTGAACTGATTGTTGTAAGTGGATATCCGCTTTTGCTAATATATACTGCAGCTTGCCAGGAACGCCACTGAGTATTCATTAATTTATCTATTACAGCATGCATAATTGTATTATTATGAAAGATTATTGTTTTATGACTCTTTATAAGAAAGACAAGGATATATAGACTCCTACCAATCATCTCACTCCATCATAGATGGTGTTTGACATTCAAATAACAATGTGTTAAAGCCCTTTGAAAATCAATCCTTATTTTATCATTGCAGTCCAAATAACCAAAGAATTACCCGATGAGGGATGGAATGATTCATCAGAATCAGTGAGTACATTTCTCTCATTTCCCAGTGTGCAAGACAGAGCTGTTCATGGTAAAGAAAGGGTGTATGTAGGGAATTCTATCTTACACCCCATTTCACCTTACGTTAATAAGTCACAATGGCTCAACAATGACTTGACGTCACGAATTTGGAAAACTCCGATGCCGCAATGGAGAAAAGGCGACGTGACTAAATTAAAACCTTGTACAATATATCTATTGACACATTAGAAAGATGAGATTAATTGTTCTGCGCAAATTTTCCTTGCAAATATGGGGCATGCTTAATCTGGCTGACATATTCGTTTTCGTCTCAAAAACCCAAGGGGAAATTGGTATTTTCAAAAAGGTAGCCAGTCCAAACGCATTTTCATGGTTACTGAAATTATTCTAGTGGTAAGAATGAGAGAAAAATACTCTGTCATGCCCAAGGGTGAAGGATAGGGAAATTACACCCTAAATCATACACTCCTAGGCATGAACGAGTCTTTTATTCTTGGTTATAGTGTTTGTGTTGGCGTAGTATCCTTGCAAACAGCTGAAGTCATGTGGGAGGTGGTTGTGTTGGGAGACATCGCCATAAAGAAAAATTAGGAAAGCGAGATTAGATATAAACTCCATGTATTGTAATTTGGATAACGGGTTACTTTTGGTCGTTTTCATATCTCCTTTGCAGAAGGCACTGAGTAAAAACACCAATTCTGCAACGGCCAATATTAGCGGCTATTACAACATGCAGTGCGATACTACAGGTCCTTTTCCGAACCTGAACAGTCTTCATAAGAGTCGGGAAATACAACGACTCCACACATTCTAGAAGTAAAGTCATTCATATGAGTGAGGGAGTATAGTGATATATCAGTCTCAGTCAATATCGTGATTCATCCATATCAGTAGGGATGGGATTTATCAGTATCAGAAAATACTGTGATGCATCGGAATCAGTAAGTAAGTGATTAATCAGAGTAAGAAATTACAGCGATTTATAAGATAAGTAAAATGATTTAACAAAATGAGAAAATACAATAATTCAGAATAAGTGAGAACGTAGATTTACTATGAACACTAACTCATAAAATAGAATAAAAAATCGCTTCATCAAATGTATGGGATTTGCTTTTGTGTCGTCTGCTGGGGCCGAACAAGTGACCAAAATATATCTCCTGCATATATTTCAACATTAAGAATCCCTGTTTGTTCATCCCTTTACTTACTACTCTTTTATTACCCTGTGCCTTACTTGACAAAACCTCGATTTTGGCTATAGTGATGAATGTTCGCCCAAGCATGGAAGGGTATAGGTTTTATTCCTTTACCGTGAACAAGCACATGTATAATCCCCTTTTCTTCATCCCTTTCCTTAATACTCTTTCATTTCTTTGTTCCTTACTTGGCAAAACATCACTTTTGGCTGTAGTGATGAATGTTCGCTCAGGCGAGGAAGGAAATGGGTTTTATTCCTTCATCGTGACCAAGCACAGCCTTTAAAACTCACTGCATGAAACTCGGTTTTAAATGTGAGTGTGTAAAGATAGTTCAGCACTATGTCAACGGAATATGTTTGGATGGAAGTTCTTGCGTTACAATTTTCATATGCATATTTCCCCGTGTGTGTAGGCAACTTAAAGTGGTCCCGAGGGACCCATATTCCAGGACAAAGTCCTGAAATGACATTAGCTATTGCAAAGACTTAAAACCATTAGAAACGTCATTAAGTGGAGAATGCAGACAATCGCATCTCTTATAATGACAACTCACAAACAACAAAATGAATATTTGTAAGCATTGCAATATGTCTTATGGGTTCTTTTATGTTTCACTGTTTAAGGGAAAATATATTGCCAGCAATGGTAAGATATTATATTGCAGTTTAAAATTATGCCATGTCCTATGACGTTCTGGTAATCTATGTATTTTATTTTTTTAATTCATTAACCATGAATGCATTGTAGTGATAAATATAATCCTCTCATTCAATTCGCAAAAAAGCAAAATTATAGTTCATATGAAATACATATATACCACTTATATCATATGCAAAATATCGATAATTATCTTTTACATTTTCAGCTTTACACCCCGCCTCCAACTAAACCAAATGAAGCTTTCAACAGCGATTCTATGGATCCAGAAATAACGTTTGTGACAGCATACTTCGGTCTTGGCAGGTTCAAGAAAGGCGAAGGAAACTTGTATTTTGATGTCGAAAACTACTCCAAGTGGATGAATCAGTTTGCCAATTTCAACAACAATGTTATAGCTTTTACAGACGTACCAGAGGTAGCTAATCAGTTGTTTATTCTACGTAAGCATCTTCCCAAAGAACGAACCAAGATATATATGAAAAACCAGGATGATATGTGGGCGTTTAAACTTGCCCCGAAAATAAAGAAAATTTTTGCGCAGCCAGACTACCCAAAGTACCACCCAAATACAGTGTTAGAGCGTTATCCTTGTGCAATGCACGCCAAATACGAGCTAATAGAAACGGTGATACGAGAACGAATGTTTCAGACTAAGTATCTAGCATGGATTGACATTGGTTATTTTAGGAATGATTACGGGAAAACATTTCACCTAGACATACCTTCCGATTTTCGGAACGATCACATTGCCTTTGTACAGATGGGGAAGTTTGAACGATGCCGCACTGCATCATCGATTATAAAAGATAATATATTTTGGATCGCTGGAGGAATATTTATAGCGAGACCGGAATACCTAATTGTGTTCATTGAGGACTATAAGCGAGCAGTAGAAAACCTTATCAGCCGGAACTTGATGAGTACTGACCAACAGGTGATATACATAATGTATACAAAGGCAGAGGACATGCGCCCTCGTCTTCCCGTTCAAACATACAGCGCTTTTTGTAAATGTGACTGGTTCTATCTCGGCAAGCGCTGTATAGAGGAGTGGCGCAAGTCACTAAAACCCCAAAGTAAGGTCATTGAGGCATTCCATCGAAATATGTTGTAATTCTTGTTAAGTATTTTAACATATGATGTTTGGTCTCCTCTGCTCTGACCAGGTATTAAATTGCTCCCATGCCTTGTAATGGAGCAAACCCGGTGACATCCGAGTAATACTGTATTAGGCCATAAAGGCCATATATAGAAAGGATAATACAGATAACATCACGCGTGATATGCCATTGCGGTCGTTTCTATTGTTTTCTCCAAGACGGACTTTGCTAAGTTCGTGAAAGAGTCTTTTCATTGGTAAGGATTCGTTTTTTCAACAATTATGCAACATTTTGATAACATTATACTCAGCACTTTTAATTTTGCTCCATTAGCATGAGTTAGCATAGGACGGCTTCGTAGCTCTGGCGACGCAATATATAAAAAAAAATATCTCGTCGTCAAAAGGCTACGTTATCGCAGCTAGCTTTAACCCTGTCTTCACGGTCCTTTGATCTAGTTTTCTATCAATCGCCTGTTAATCTGTTTCCAGTCTATCGACAATTTTGAAGACTGCAGAAAAACTCCCTCGGCCATTTCCGTAACTTTTTCACGGAAATTATCCATACAATCACGCAATAGGTGGGCGAAGCTTCCACTGGCCTGACGTACCAGTTTATAGAGCTAAAGACAGCAAACCAGACGACAATAAAAGAGTATCTTTGGCTCTAGATAGGTTTTGGTTTGAATATTGATTTTTTAAACAACATTCATGCATTTTATATAGACATAAATATAACAATTAAAGTACGGGATTCGTGATATAGCAAGTTTCAGGTTCCCTTTGATCAGACTTTTCTCATAGGCTGCATCTCAGGAAAAAACATGGGCCTAGAGAAAACAAACCATGAAATTGTCATTGCCCTCCAGCAAACTTTAACTGTATATCACAGTATATATAACCCATATACCTACAGTATATATATTAACCTATATATTATTACATAATAATTAATAATAATTACAAAAAACATAAATATAACATGTAAACAGTTTACATAAAAAAGTGTATAATATGTATAACCCTTTTTACAATGTATACCTACAATGTACCTAAATACCGTGTAAATAGAATTGTACACATTTTATAACCGTGTATAGAGTAAACATAAACTGTGTACGGAATCTGCATTTTATGATTGCCTTGAAATACCCCATTAGCCTTATAAATAAAAAAGAAGTATAATAAAGTATAATTTTAGTTGAGAAATGTTACTGTAATATTTTGTCATGACCTGTCACAAAATTTCTCTTGATTTTAAAATGTTCTCGCTCAGAGTGGAAGAAAAGGTATGTTCATCGTTTCAAAACTGATGGATATATAAAAATGCTAAATCGTCGCCCCTCTACAATTTATTTGTTTTTTGGTTTTTTTGGTATGATCATGGTGATATGAACAGTTTATACCCCCTTTCCTTCTGGGTTAGATAATAGTTTTTGTGAAACAAGCTACATAATTAAACCTTACGAAGCGTTTCGTGTGGGTTTTTTTTATTTATTTTTTACGAGTGTAAAAGTGTTCTAGAAGGATATAACGAATGTTGCAATTGATTACTGAGAGCTTGGATTCAATGTGAGAGTGGGCTAGATCTCTAGGCCAGTTTCGAGGTCGAGTTAGAACAAACCTGAATACCTGTCTATTAACCATATAGAAACTGTTAATTTAAAACAATCTTGACCAATAGACTAGGTTATCGTGTTGTAAATTTTAATCTTCTCGACGATACTATTATCGCTTTTCTGATCCTGTTATATCCAGCATAAAGCGTTCAGATGTGGCCTGTTTCAGAAAATTAAACTGTAATAATAGTTGGTCTTTCTATACAAAATAGCACAGTAGCAGTGTCGATATGTACAGTCCCTTTCATTTGCAAAAGTTAAAATGATTTCATTTCAAATTTTAACTCTATTTAAGTTGACCTGAATGGTTTTAAAGGCTAAATAAACGTTGAACAGAAGGAAGATCAAATTCCTAATTCAACATAAATTTACCTGTAACCATTATTTTGCAGATGTGTTAAATAACTTATCCGATGTCACCAAGTGAACAATACTAAGACCAAAGTTATTTCTTAATTCATCAAATACTTGCCTGTAGTTTTGACATCTTGTACTAGGTTTACGTTTCCCAGTGAATAACCTATTTAACTTCGACTGAAGGTAAGCTTTTCATGTAACTTGGTTTGGTATTATATTTACTCATTTACTCATTCATTTTATTTCATTTATGATTTTTATTTCTTATTTTTCCAATATATATCCATTGCTTCAATAATTGTTCGTAATTGCATATTATAGCTTCAAGAAATGATTCCGTCCCTCTGTACATTTGAAATTTGACCGTCCAAACAGTAGCACTAATGTAAGAAGATAATATATATTTGCAATTGTGCAAGAATAGCCGGTTTTAAAGAATTGCGTTTAAGCTTAATGTAGGATGCTGATTTTTATGCATT